ATTTTATAGTTTATGATCTATAGATTTGATTGATACTAATTTGGATATAGTTGTTTTTAATATGATATTGTCACAATGTTTAGAAGTTATGAATGAAAGAAAATTTACATGAAAATAGACCTTAGCATCATACAAATTCTGGCTAAACTCTAACGTTGAAGTAATTAAATGGTATTTGTACTGATATATTCTACTACTACTACTGACAAACCTAGAAATAAATAGTCACATATGATTTTTATGCAGTGCTTCATTTAATTGCAGATTAAAGAGTCCCGCCGACGTAAAGTTGTCACGGGTTCCTGGTGGCGGTGTTGCCTTTGTTCCACTTCGAGCCGCCCCCACCATCATGCCCTTTATCGACGACAATCTACTTTGGTGTCCCGACAACGACGGCAAAATGGTCGACCTCTCTTGCCTGGTAAGCCCCCTTCTGCTGCACCTCTGTACTTTTTGTTACTTGATTTCTGGTTCTAGTCTCCGTTTTCTGTGAAGCATCTGTGATGAAATACTTTAGTGTACCCTAAAAGAAATTTCGTTTTCTCTCGTACGAATACGACCGTTTTCTTTCTTTTTATGGCTGACTATAGAAAATATGCTGAAATGCAACGAGTTGCATTTATGCTTTGCAAATATGTGATATAAAGAGTGTAAATAGTATTTTATAACCATTGTATTTCAGATTTGTCATATTCACTTTGATTTTAGACGCAAAATTCAATAACTGAATTCCAAACAAATGTAATGATTATAGCCCTAAGGAACTCTGCATATGAATACAGCGTTATTAAGTGAATATTAAGTTGATATTTGATAAGTGAATATTAAGTTAATACCAGATTAATTAGATAATAAAGTGAAGAGATGTTTAGTTAATGCTGAATAAGTAAGTTACTCTATTGATACTAATTTGATAGTTATTACCAAGTCATTGAGTTATTACCCAGTGCTAATCCAACTGGTAATAAATGTAATACCAAGTGGATGTGTTAATATAACCCTGAGAGTACAGCGAACTTATTTCCGCTTTGCACCTTACAGGATCCTGGAGGAGGAAACGCTGCAGACAACAGCGCCACTCCAGGGGGACATAACAATGACCAAATGACCCCAATGGGAATGGGGGTCATCGGAGGCCTCGCCTCGTCTCACCCGTCCTCAGCCCCTGAATGTGGGGACCTCGCCGAACTCTCACAGGCTGACCTTAAGGGACTCGTTGGCGAAATGACAGAGGATGATGAGATCTTCACAAGCATCTCTGATCCTATCATTGAACTTGATAATATTTTTGCTGAGGTGAGTCTTGATGAGGCTTCGGGGGAGTGTGTGTTTTGGTGGGAGATTCTTTTAGCGCGGTATAAGAGGGTGTATTCTGTTTTTTATTTGTACCTAGACGTACTATTAGAAAGCGAAAGTCAGTTGATAATTATATGATCGTGTAAAGTAATATGGATATTTTTATTCTTATATAGTCTACTGTCAAAGAGAACGAAATTTAACCCTCGTTGTCTTGATCATGCTCTCTTTCTTCTGGACAGAGTTAATCGATAAGTGTACAAATAATAAGTTCAGTAAGGAAGGGATTTGAATGATGTCGATCAAGTTTTTAAAATGAAAATGACACGTATTTCTAATTGCTAAAGATTTCACGGAAACGCATCAATTACATCGCTTGCTTTGTGATTTTTTTTCATTTTTAAATGTACCCTTTTTCAGTTTCTTACTTCCTCTTTACTAATGGCATCAGATCCCGCAGGTCGATGACTCGTTCCTGTCGGGGAATCCTGTCGGAAACGAGAGAATGAGAGGGCGATGTGGGCGGGAGGATGCCATCCCCGCCACGCCCACAGATTCGGCCAAGACGCCCTCAGACCTTCATTTGATACAGATAAAACAGGAGTTGGAGCAGCTTGGAAGTGTAAGTAGACGACTCGTTTGGTTTCCAAGGTTGAATGTGTAATTATAGTACTTTTTGAGCTCAAGATATTAGTAATCTTGTTTTAACTATATTAGTCGCTCATATAGACACCTCTGTATACACACTAAAATACCCCAATGACCTCATTATCTTGCAGAGCGACGAGGAACCCATGTCAACCAGCACCCTGGAGGCAGTGTCCAGCACCAGCACTCTGAATTCAGTCCTCCGCTCGTCGCCTCTCTCTGGCCCCAACCACAATCACAATCACCTCATCTCCCAGCTCATCAACAATCCAATGGCCTCTTCCAATAGTAATAACAATCTTCACAACACAAATGGCAACCAATCTTTTGCCAGTTTGCTCAATGACTCCGAGACAAACGGAGTCGGAAATGGATGCTCCAGCACCTCCCTGCTCCAGAATGCCTTGCAGAACAACGGCTCAGCAAATGGATTGATAGATGCTCGCCACATCAAAAGAGAAAATTCTGTGGCAGCTGCTAATCCCTTGCTAGCAGGTGAGCTTTCTTTTCTAACTTACTCCTTTATGAGATTTTTTGAGGTACTGTGAATCAACATTGATATTAACATTGTTTGTCATGGTAGATAACCCTTTATTGTGTACTTTGATGGTACGCAAAAATAATCTTCTAGCCTATTGGGTTTAGTTTCTTAACCTCGGGTTATATAGTCCTTCAGATCATTTTCCCCACCTCTTTTCCTCTTAGAAAGATGAAACCTACTCCATTTACCTTGATTTCATTAATGATTCAAGAACTCTAGTATGAATGGACGTATTCACATACACATATCAAAGGTCTTGACTATATTGCTCCTCTATGGACTGTACTGATAAGTACACACAACAATTGCATTCCAGTTTATGTAATTGATAGGATGTTTTCTTTACTACTAGGCTAAAGAGGTTGAAAAGATGAAAAGGGTCATTTGTTTTTCTTTTATTCATTTCATATGACTTGTTATTTATGTTCTGTATTACTTTGTTTTGTCCAATTTCTGATGTCATGAAATCCATCTCTTATTTCAAGAAGCGTGGCCGATCTCTCATTGGGCATTTTGGGAGGACTTGGGTATGAATTTTTTTCTTTCTTAGTTTCATGTAAATCTTGGTAGAAACCCTACACATGGATATAAGCTTGATGCATTTAACAGAATCACATCAAAAGTAATTACCAGCCTCTCTTTATGGTAGCTTTGGCTGTAAGATAGAAATCCCAAGGAAATATCACCATTTCATTATTTTTTTTTTTATCTGGTTGCTAAAAAGAGAGTAGAGGAAACTAGAATTCCCTTTTTTAATGACCATCACATGTAAAGATTTTCATTGCTGTTCATACTTTTTACCCGTTTTTTCATTATTACCATGTAAGTGATAATTGCCAAGATGAGCATGCTTTTCCAACTTCAATGTGATTTTGCAAATAGATATTGTCCCTTTGTCTGTAAAATGTGCCTGCTGTACCCTGTAATATACTCAGATATTCTGGAAATAATGATGAATGTGTATATAAATGCTCTTATTGGCTTGGTATATCACCCATAATGTATAATGTACAAAGTAGCATTTATTCAGTGTTTGTCAATATGTCACACTACATAATGTACATATACTTAGAACTGGTGGTAAAGGTGCTCCATATGGGTGTAAATTTATGGATTATCTAGTTATCTCTCTTTATGAGTCAATAAATGCCCTAAAGATTTTGGTTGTTTAACAAAATAAGCTATTATAAGAACAGATTTTTTCACCTTTTACAGGGAACTTAGATTAACTGGGAGAAAGATTTACTAGATAGGGTAATGTTTACATTTTAGAAATGAGGCACGCTGATTCTTTGGAAATAATTTCTTCATTGCAGTACTAACCCAAAATTGCTATATTTTTCATTATAGTTTTTCCTCAGAGATGAAGTAAAGCTATATTAATTTTTCTAATTATGATAGCATTCTAGACATTCTATTGTGATATTCTGACAAACAAGTGATTAAATTATTTAATGTGTACTTTGTTTATATTATAAATCAGCTGAATGAACAGCTTTTTCTCTAAATTATATATTTATTGTAGGCACAGAAAACAAATTAAGGAAGTATTGTGTCAGTATATCACATTTGATTCTACTCTTAAATTCATTCTTTCTACTTTTAATAAGCTAAGTAGATGCAAGATTGCTTAAAGATATATAATTACTGTAGGAAACAGAAAACGAATACGAGCTCCATGCCATTACATTACATTTGATTCATATTCTTGAATTCATTCTTTCCATCCAAAATCAGATCACTGAATGTCAGTTTCTTAAAAGTTACACATGTTGTCATAAGAACAGAAAATATAGGGACGAATTCCATGCCACAATATTCCATGTGATGCTCATTGTCCAACTCTTTTTTTTCCCTCCCAGGACTTCTATCTTCTCCCTTCGACCGACCAATGGGCAGTCCGGTCACCAACCAGTCACCGACACAAACCCTGCCTGGTCTCCTTGGTCACATCAAAGTCAAGAAGGAAGTGCTTGACCATCACCATGACTCCTGCAAAGGTAAGTTTTCTGAGAAGCTGTTGTTGTTGTTTGGTTGTGGCAGTGTTACGATTTCCGAACCAAGGGAGAAGGGGACTTGGAAATATGAATGGATGAGATTTTCTTCTTTTTCTAGTTTTGTTTTGTTTTTTGTTTTTTTACGTTTTTAATGCGATTATTCAGTGTGATGCTGATCGCTACCGGTTTCCATGAATTATGCGTTTGTAAATTAAGACGTTATATGTCATTTGGCACCGTGCTCCCAAGAGAACGCTTGTATATGAATAATTTCCGCCTGCATATAAATTCCAGTTCGGCCATAATCTTTAACGCTTCTGTTTCGTATCTTTTTGAATTGAGATTAATGGTAGTATCTAGATTATATAATTTTGATAGTTACTTATAAAGTAATACTGAGATTATATATCTAACCATTATTATACGTTTTCTTGAGATTATATTACGGCTCGTGTAAGACTACAGCAGTCACTCCTGTATCACATTGCGAGTCCAACAGAAAATGGTACCGTAAGAAGCGATAGAAAATGGGCTCGATTTATTATCCCTAACTTAAGAATTCGGGTAATGATCGCAATTTATGGTCTGTTTTTGAAAATTCATTACATTGTATATCCTTTGATACCATGCACTCAAGAGGATGATTTTATTTTAAATATTTAACATTCGCTTGTTAAAAAAAAGATAATTGTGACTGTTGCCTTTTTATATTTTTTATGAAAAATTCTTTTCAAAGTTCAGCCAATGTAATAACTACTGTTTACCATAAATCAGTTTACAAGGCATAGTAACGTCGAACTTATAATCAAAATAAAATTTCTATACAGTATAGTATACATCTTAGGGATCTACAGCAGTTACCCCTGTCTAGCTTTGCGAGTCTTACAGAAAATGGAAAGAACATGGGTGTAAAGGAATAGCCCCAACTCAAGAATTCTGTCAAGGGGTTTGCAGTTATCTTTCCTTCATTTGCGTCTTTTTCGAGAATTGACTTTTCCTCGTGTGATTTAATTTTTAAGTTGTACGATGTGCTAAGACTGAATTCAGTTTGAAAATATTTTGCTTTGTCGAAAGCGTTGAAGAATTGTTTGTTTACATTCAACAAGATTATTCGTAAATATATTTTTCTTTATATAATATTGGATAATATTTTTTTCTTGCTTGATACTGCAATGATAACACATCATAGATTTTTTTTCGCGAAACTTGAAGGAAAAATGGATATAAATTAGAGCTAACATTAGTGTTTCATAATTATTCAGAATATAATGCTTTCTCATTATTGTGCAGTGTTATGAATCTCAAATTATTTCGTTGAGTTATGTTTTATCTCAGTAACTAAGAGGAAAGTATTGAATATAAACTTTATGAAATGCTAACTGCCAATAATTTTGGAGAAGTTTCCTTAATGAGATTATAAAAAAAATCTGTATACGATCGTCGTATAACACATGACCAAACTAAGTATATTATACACATGACAAGATGACGCGCTGATGTCACGTTTTATTCAAAGCCAGTCATGATTTTCGCTTTTTCGCCTCGGTGGTATACACTGGTTTTCCTTCTATGCTAAACAGGGCTTGAATATTCGCCTGAACTTCCTTGCAACGAGGACAGTTGGCGACCACAGTCTTTGGCGGTGACTTACCCTGAAGGGAGCTGGAAATAAAGAGGAAAATCAGACATAGTGAAGAGTGACTTGTAAATTGTTATGTGTTTCTTTCTTTATTTTTTTCCCTCTCATTCTTTCCTTCTTACTTTTATGTATCTCTAACTTGGCGGCCCGTTGTAAATTATGAGTTAAGGATTGTGACGCTGGAGGTTCAGTTCGTCTCTTCCATCTGACGGGAGAAGTTAACTCTAAATGTCTGCCATTTTGTTTACGCCTAAGCTAAAGATCTCCAGGTATGTAAAGTCTTATTTAGTATTCATTCTCTTTCTTCATTATTCTGTCTATGGCAAGTATCCACAGCGGACGCCACGTGATGCGCTCTTGTTTTTTGTGTGTTGTTGTTGTAAGCTGTGAACAAAGGTAGTTTTGGCTCTCGTCTAGCCCGGCGACAGCAGGATACAGCTTCATGTCACGCAGGTAACCCTTATTGGTAATAAAAAAAGGAAAGAAGGGGGAAAATAGAAAAAAAAAGGGAAAAATGATACTCTTTTCCCGGATTTCCAATGGTAGATATTCTCGACAAATTGAAATGTTGAAGAAATACAACTTTACAGTCGTCCTGTAATAATGAAAACGTTTTTTCTAGGGTAATTCTAGGGTTAAATACGAAACTGTGATACTAGGACTCAAGACACGTTATGATTTCCGACTGAGTTAAAAAAAAGAGAGATTTAGCTCAATAAGTCAATAATAAAAGATATTATTAAAATACGGTTGTTAGAACACGTTATTACATGTTATACCAACAAAGTGAAGACGTTTTGTGTACTTCAAAGAAATCTATTTTTTGCTTCAGTTCCAGGAAAACGCGACTTATTTTTTGCCAACGGGATTAATATTTTACGTTTCCTGAAGTTCAAACTTTTTTTCTTCTTTATATTCTTACTCAGTTTGGAAACAATATTCTTATTTAAAAAGAGGAAGTAATCTTAATCTAATGATCCGAAGGTATATATTCTCGTTCAGTAATAAAGATGTTTTTTCACTGGATCTGGTAATTGGGGAAATACCTTCACGCATGCGCACGACTGGTTGCTTTTATCACTACGTGGAAACGCAGGATACTGAGTTTAACTTATTAATGTTAACCATGATAATAATAATAATGATAGTATTAGTAATGATAATTGGTGATGATGATGATGATAATAATAATAATAATAGTAATAGTAATGATAATAACAGTAATAATAATGATAATAATGATAATAATAATGATAATAAAACAATCATAAAAATGACAGTATTGATAAGAATATAGAGGTCAATATTAATGTTAAAATTGATATTGATGTTAATATTATTATCATTATTATATCAATAATAATAATGATAATGATTAT